CATATAATTTCCCACTTCTCTTTCTGGGTCTAATGAGAAGGGGCTAGGGACCACTGTTTCATTGAAGAACTTTCATTCTAAGCCTACCTTATACCTTCTATGTAGGGAATCCACCCCCTTTGGGAAGTTTGCTCTTCTGCGGCACAGCAGAAAAGTATTCTAATCAGCCCTACTAACCTCTTCCCTCCCCAGAGCTGAACCCAGAAAGGTTTGTCTGGCTGTGCAAAATTAATTCTAATTGCATGCATTTACTTGTATGCTTACCATCTATGCATAGTTACCATGTAGCTCAGTAAAGGTTATGCGTATTATTAAATATGTCAGATTAACTTTCTCCTGCAGTTTGTAAAGTAGGGATAATAATACTGCCTATCTACTCCACAGATCTGCAGTGGAGAAATTGCTTTCCAAACCTAACAGCCTTCTGTAAGTATATATAAGTTGTTTTTATTATGATAATATGAATCTTTGTCCAGTCATCATTCCCATAGCATGCTTGTCAGCTTAAACCATTAATAAATAAAGAGGAACCTGGAATACTGCATAATTATGGGCTTCCGCTTTTATACATAACTTGTCAGCAAGTGCCTTACAAATATCTTTATATTCTCACAACAATCATGGCAGGTAGGGAGATGCTACTATTAGCCTCACTTTTACAGATAAAAAAGAGGTTCAGTAATTTGTCCAAGGTCACTAAGCTAGTGTGTGAGGTTGGTTTTGGACTTGGGTTTTCCTGACCACAAATACAGTGCCTGACCTTCTGCATCATCTAGCTACCTCATGCAATCAAATCACAGGATCACAGAATTTTAGGAGAAAGGAACTTTGGGATCATCTATTCCAATCTCCCTATGTTTAAAATGAGGAAACTGAGAGGCAGGAAAGTTAAATGCCTTGTACAAAGGCCAGACACTAGTTAACAGCAGCACTAATAAACTAGACCTAACCTGAAATTCAATGACCTTTCCATTCCTTATATGGGCTGCCCAAGCTAAGTTTCTAAAACTTTAATCTAGATCAAAGGTCAAAGAATAATCAAACCACATTTGAAAACCATTAGAAACATACACTATGTAAAGGAAGCACTTATTAACTCTTTTTGGAAACAAATAATTAAAATAATCTACTTGTAAATTAGAGAGGGGCTGAGCCAATGTTTTGTAAATCTCTACTTTCCTATATAGCTCCTCCCTATGTTCAATTTAACAAATATTAAGTAACTGTTATATGCAAAGCACTGTTTTAGTTGCTATGAATATAGAGGTTTTTTCAAAAGCAGAGTCACTCTCATTTACTTTATATTCTAGTGGGTGAACAGACACAGAAATTGATAATAGTACAAAAGGAGTGCATTAGATCAGACCTGCACAACTTGGCAGTAGGTAGGGGCCAAAATTAAAATAGGCTAAACTTCGAGCCACAGATAGGTTTTTTAGTGGCTCACTTTCCAAGAACAGGTATAATTAATGATAAACTATTTTGCAAATAAACCATATTTTTTAAAAAGGGAAATCTCAATTAATTACACTTATTATTTAAGATTTTTATTTATCATGAAATCACTCCTCTCAGACTAAAGACAGACTGATAATGGTTAGTTACCACTGGTTATGTCACAAACAGGAGAGAGTGCATAGGGGCAACTGACGCACCATGTTACAAATCAGGTGCAATAGTGACAAGTGGAAGGCAGGGTAAGAGGGGAACAGCAAAAGTACTCATATCTTCACTTTCTTTTACATCCTCTACATTTTTTGTGGGCTGCCTGAAATCCTTTGGTGGGCTACAAGCGACCCGAAGGCCTTATGTTGTGCAGGCCTGCATTAGATACATGCAAAGAAAAGCCTCATGTCACATCCAAGAAAGGAAGTCCTTAATGAAGGGAGGAAGTTATCATGTGGAGGTGGCATTTTTTCAGTTAGACTTTGAAGCATATCTCCTAAGGAAAGGCAGATCTGGATATGATTTTAGAATTTGATCCAAAACTGCAGTTCCCTTTATCGGCATAGTCTCTTGCAATCCTAATCACCATATACTACAGAATCATATTAGAGCTCAAAAAAGAAACTGTTTAAGAACAAAATAAAACTAAATAAATAGCTTACATTCTTGAGTCAAATTTAAGAGTAAACCAAAAACATTCATTGAAGAACAGCAAAGTCACTTTTAAACTCTTGGGAAAAGATATAATGCATAGCAAGTTTTCAGTAAGCAATCATTTGCCTCACTCTCTGGGTTTCAATTTCCTCACCTTTAGAATGAGGCAATTGAATTAGATGAACTTCTAGTTCCTTTCCAATTCTAAATCTCAGTCTTTCTTTTTATGAGTGTTCTTAAAAGTCGTAATGTTCTTTTTTCCTATACTTTAACAAGATATATAGGAAAAAGAACAGTGGATTTGGAATCCAAAGTTGCAATCCCAACTGTCACTTATTAGTTATTTAATTTCAAGCAAGTCAATTTAATTTTCTCTGCCTCCTTTTCATCATCAGCAAAATTAGTGGGTTGGACTAGATTGTCTCTAAGTTCACTTTTTCTAGTTCAAACATCCTAAGATTTCCTTCCCTAGCTCAAAATAGTTGTAATAAGATACTTTCTCCTGTATAATTAATCTATCTCTTTCAGATGCTTCAAGTGCTTTGCTCAGATTATAGTCTACATGCTTGTTGCCATATGCTTCTGGAAAAATTTGGAATGTCGAAATGAGTGGACTGTGAAATCACAGGGAAAATATTGGCAGAGCAGGCTATATGAAAAATATAATTTTTACTATTTCATCATGAATGGTTGGGTAATCAGATGCTATGAAAAGAAAGTGCTGGGGAAAACACATGGCAGAAAAAGGACTCTTGGTTGAAAACACACTGGTGCATATATATATATATGTATGTATATATGTATATATATGTATGTATGTATATATGCATATATATGTATGTATGTATAAATATATACACACAATACACCATGTATGTATACATTTCTATGTATATATGTCTGTATGAAGAGAAACAGACAGAGACAGAGACAGACAGACATACAGAAAGTCAGACAGAGAAAGAGAGAAACAAACAGAGACAGAGAGACAGAAAGACAGAGAGTCACCAAGGCCACAAAGTATAGTGGTGTGATGAAAAGAATACCTGAACAGAGAAATCTGTAGAAGACCTGCATTCATACTCAAATCTGCCAGTAATTCTGTCTAGGCTGTATTCTCTGAATCTTAGTTTCTTTATTTGCAAAATTAGGCCTTTGATCTAGGTGACCTCTAAGAGTTCCTCAAACTGTTAGTTCCTCTATGCTTCTCTTAACTTTTTTTTCATTGTTGTATGTCATGAATTTGAATTCCACAAACATGTTTTCCATCCTGGATCCAAGACTTGCTATGTTTAATACCATCCAATTTTTCTTGGGCACCTCTTAAGTGATCAACATTATAATTAGCATTACTACTATTATATTATTATTATTATTATTGTAACATTATAGTGCATAATATGGTATTAGAGGCTTGCCATATTCCAGTTATTCACTGAAATCAGAGGAGAGAAACAAGGATGACTCATAATTCAATTCACAGTTAATTACAAATACTAATTGCTAATATTAGTTTCTCATACCCAACCATTTTGTTTTTCTTTAAGTAAAGTTGCTTAAGAAAAAAAATAAAATGGAATGAAATGAGTTTTGCCTTTTTTCCTACCTTGTCCTTCCTGTACTAGACGTATCCTTGGGCAGAAAACTCACATTAAGAGGGATAACAAATTAAAACAAAAGGCCTCATATGTTTTTCATTGTTCAGTCTTTTTCAGTCATATCTGACTCTTGGTGACCCCATCTAGGGTTTGCTTGGCAAAGATACTGGAATGGTTTGCCATTTCTTTCTCCAGCTCATTTTACAGATGAGGAAACTGAGGCAAACTGGGTTAAGTGACTTGCCCAGGGTCACATGGCTAGTACGTATTAAGGCTTACATGAATTGATGTACAGCCAAGTGAACAGAATCAGGAGAACACTGTACACAGTAAGAGCAAATTGTCTGATGAAGAACTGTGAATGACTTGGCTATTCTCAACAACACAATGATCTAAGACAATCCCAGAGGACTAATAATGAAGCATACTATCCAACTCCAAAGAACTGATATTAACTGAAAACAGTGAAGCATGCTATTTTTAACTTTCTTTCATTTTTTTTGAGTCTTCTTGTACAAAATGGCTAATATGGAAATGTTTTACATAATTAAACATGTATAAACTATATCCAATTGCTTACAGTCTCAAGGAGAAGGGAAGGGAAAGAGGGAAGGAGGTATAGAATTTGGAACTCAAAACTTCAAATAAAAATGTTAAAAATTGAAAAAAGGGGGGGCAAGGAAAAAATTATAATGTTTTTCTTTTAAAATACTACCTAAAATTTAGAACTAAGACTTATAATAGGGGCTGCTAGGTGATGCAGTGGATAGAGTACTAGCCTTGGAGTCAAGAAGACATCATTTCGGGGTTCAAATCTGGCCTCAAATAATTAATATTTGTGGGACCCTGGGCAAGTCACATCTGCTTACTTCAGTTTCCTCCTGTGTAAAATGAACTGGAGAAGGAAATGGCAAACCAGTCCAGTATCTTTGCCAAGGAAACCCCAAATGGGGTCATGAAAGAATCAGACATGAGTGAACAATAACCATGTGTTTGACTTAGATTAACTAGCAAGGGTTAATTTAATTTGATTCATTATGTAACCAGGTAAAATCCTTTTTAATATTTATTTAGTTAATTCACAGAAAAAAAAGTTTATTTAAATAAGAGATGAAACAACTTCAAGCATTTTGAATAAGTTATCTCAAAATGACTTTAATTTGAGACCCTCTAATGAATTTAGTATTTATTTATGTTGGCAACTCCAAACTATTGCTTGACTGCACAAAGAAAATGTGCCCACATCTCAAGAAATGGGCATACTGTGATATTTCAGGTATCTAGCCTTTGTAAGCCTCTTACCTTAAAAGTCTCTGCCATTTGCTTTAGCTCTCCTGTCCCACAGCATTCATGATTACAGTCCTAAAAGCAGAAACCAGAATTCAATTAGCTAAAGCCAAAGCAAATATTTCACTGAAGGTCCAGTCCCCAGCAAAATCGAGACCTGGAGGAGCCATAAAAATCAGAAAACACCATTTAGTGGAAACGTAAAGCACAAAGAAACCTTGAACACTTGTTCTATCTTCTCCTTTCCACTTAGTATTGATTGTAATGTTTTCACTGACCATGTTCTGCCAACCAGCACTGCTGCCATCACTTCAGGACAATCCACATTATTTATTTAACTTTTCTTCTGGATTCCATGGGACTGTTACAGTTTAAGTTTTGCTCGACTGAAGCCAGGTTTGTGTTTGGTTTTCTTGTATCAGAATAAATGGTTTCAATTAGTCTTAAACAATCTTAACCAGCATCCTCTTGGGAAAGGCTCAGTCTTTTAAACACTGGAGCACAATAGAAAGGGTGGAAAAGGATGTGGTGGCCTCTTTATTTCCTTCTGTTTTCTCCAGGCCAGTAGTTTTGAATACAGCCTCATGGAAACCAAATCAATAATAAAGATATACACAATGACAGACCTACATTTCAAAGTGGCCACAATGACAAAGAATAGATGTTTTAGAAGGGGCTTTGGGGAAACAGGACTCCAAATCAAATAAAATTGGTTATTATTCTTCAGGGGTAGGGTTTGGGAGGAGATCTTCAAAGGAATCCGGTGATCTGGAGATTCCTTAATCAATGATTGACAGGCAACAGTGGGAGGGAAGGAGGGAAATGGGAAGGGAGCGAAGAGAAAGGGAGCCTAATGAGGCAATAGGCAATGCTCTGAATTCTCAAAGCTACTGACAGGTGCGGGAAAATTTTATAGCGCCAGGGGCTCGGGCACCACCCGGGGGATGTCCCGCTACCACCTCAGAGATTCATCAGGTTTCTATCCCACCCTACCCCCACAAAAAGCTGCTTTCAGTGGAGCTTAACTGGGAGCCAGTCACACACCAGCGTTAACCTTGTGGACAAGCAAGGATGTCACAGAATTTCAGGATTTTCTTGCTTACTGCTGTAGGGCCTGGGAGATGAGGGCCATTTGAAAAGGTTTTTTTTTTTTTAAGGGGTGGAGGTAGGAGACTGGGACGGGGGGGGGAGTTGGGGGGGGTGAAGCACCCTGGGCAAGAAATGTGGAAGAAATGATGTCTTGGTGAATGCGGCGCAGGGAAACTGGGATGCGTGTAGGCGCGACTGCATCAGAGAGGCAAAAGGCAAGGGCAAGAATGATTGGGAAGATGGGAGAGTTTAAATCTCCCCTAACCCTCCTAGCTCCCCCCCCACTCCTCCCACCGCAAACGCCCTCCCCGATGTACCTGGCAGGAAACGGCCTCGGCTGCTCCGGGCTGGCTGGCCATGCTGAGTCCTGAAGGGCGATGGCCGTGCGCCGCGGATCTAGCTGCTGCAGCACGAGGCTTCTCCTAACTAGAGCTAGCGAGCGCCCCAGGCAGCCACCAGCGGTGCCAGCAGCGCACTGCCCACTTGCCGCGTGATGCTCCGGCTCCACGGGGCCAGAGACAAGAAGAAGGCGCGAGAGGGTCACAGCACTGCTGCCCTCTTTCCACCGGCACGAGACAAATAAAGCCCTTCCCTCCCGGTCCCTGGTGAGCTGGAAAAGCGCACGTCTTAGCCTCTTTCCTCCTCATCCGTAGAATGCGATCATTGGCCAGAAATCACCAAGACTCAAATTACCTCCAACTCCGTATATTCTTAGGGATTCGAGAGAGTGGGCAGAACCATTCCCCATCAGGAGGACTCAGAGCAAATTAGCAATGACTGAGCAGACCCTGGGGGCGGGTCTCTGGGAAAGGCCAGCCAGGTTTTTTATACTATGATGTGGCTAAAAGAAAGGCAAGGGATGTGACTTCATGGTCAATGTACTCTAATTTCTGTTAATACATTCTCAAAACTTGCAACTCAAAGAAACAATTCCTCTTTCTAAAGAATTGCAACGTGGAGAAAATTATTCTCTCTCGCCTCTTTACTCACACCTTTAATGCGGAGCCCCCAATGCAAAACCCTAGCCTCTAGGAACTAGCCGGTTGGCTAGACAGGCCACCTGGAAAATGCTCTAGCAGCTGGGGCATATCCAACTATCATCAGAGGTAGCTTGGTGTAGTAAGAGCGCCTGACCTCTCTCCAGAGTTATATGGATTTAAACAAGTACATAAGACGCTGATGTTAATCTTGAGCAAGTCACTTCACCTAAATTTCCTCATTTGTTAAATGAGGACAAAGATACAAGCCCAGACTGTTTCACAGGGTTGTTCTGAGGTAAGTGCTTTGTAGATCTCATCAAGGAGAGCTGTTATTAACACTGTATGACATCCCTACTCCATCTACCATAAAATCATAAGATTGTAGATTTAGTCAGAAGGAACCTTAAAAAAGTCCCTTAATTTGACCTCTCATTTTGCAGCTGAGGAAATTAAGGTTTAGGAACTTCTAGGTTTTAAGGATAAAGTGCAATCGAGCATCTTTAAACAAAGGTTAAAGAGCTAATTAGTATTTTAAATATAGAATGGAAACTACAACCTCCCAGCCGAAGTAAAGAGCACAAAGATTTACTTTTTAAATAAGTTCATATTAAATCATTATTAATAATAGTCATTCACCTCCTCCACTAATTCCGTTGAAGGCACTACCATCCTTCCAGTCACCCAGGTTCTTAATTTCAGTGTTGTCCTTAACTCTTTCCTCTACCTCCTGCCCCATATCTACTTGCCAAGTCCTGTTAATTTAATTTCCATAATATCTCTCAGGTTAGTCCCTGTTGGCCTCCAATCCAATAAATCAATCCAATAAACATTTAATAGGTGCCTACTATGTTCCAGTTGCTGTGCATTCATCCAAAGTCACATTCCTCCCTACCAAAAACAAACCAAAAAAACCCCAAAAAGTTTATTATTAATAATGAGCTTAATATGGTCAGATCAATACTATATTCATAACCCACAGAATCAGTTTATCTCTCCCTTTGTGTTCTCCATGTCTACACTGATGTGTCTGCTTTTTTCCCGTTTAATGGTTGACCTTGCCTCAACTTGTATACTTCCTCCTCCCTTACTTCCTCCTCTCTGGACTACCTTCACCCTTCCCCCCCCCCAAAAAAATGAACAAAAATCTGGCTTTTATATTCAAGTAAAAAAGTCATTAAACATCTCTTTTGTGTAAGGCACTGTGCTAATGGGTTGAGGTACAAAGTCAAAACCTAACAGTCCTTGAACTCAAATAATCAGTCAAAAAGTATTTATTAACCACTTATTGTGGTTTTTGTACCCCCAAAAAATTTGGGTCCCATTTGTCTAAGGGATTCTCCATGAATTCTCCCACTTGATCAAAGAGGTCTCTGGAGATCCCCCTGAGGCTATAACCGCATCAACTGGCCTTTTGTTATCACCTACCCCTAACCTACCCTAGCCCTCCATTGTCTTACCTTCCTATGGCCCCGGCCTACTTCCCACACTTGACCTAATCTAGAATCCATTTTCTCCCTCCCTGTCACTCCCATCAAGATTCTTCCTAGATCTTTCCCATAGTGTTTCTGTATATAACATCCATCTTGTCTCCATTAAAGTGCTCAGATTCTTAAAATCTAGCCACTGCTCAGATTCCTTAAGAACCTAGCCAATAGCTCACAAATGTTCAGATTCCTCAAGAGTCTGGCCAATATGGAGGATCTTTAATAAACCTTGTCTTTGGCTGAAAAAAGTCTTGGGTGGAATTCTTTCAGGCAGGAGCTGCATGTTATGATTTTAGGGTTCCAGCACCCCTAAACTTCTAGACCTCATCAGTAGTAGTTTATAATCTCCTGGATATGGGAATGCAAAATATGTACAAATAAGTTTAATATACATAAAATGAACTGGAGAAGGAAATGGCAAACTACTCCAGTGTCTTTGCCATGAAAACTCCAAATGGGGTTGATGGGGTACTTGTGTTTGGGTGCTCCTGCTTGGACCCCAATTTCTCCCTAGCCTCAGAAATGCTGTCCCTGACAGTTTCTCCCCAGCCTGAGGACACTGTGCCTAGCAATTACTCATGAGTGGGCCCCAGCAAGATCCTTTTCTCTCTCCTTGGTGCAGTTACAAACAGCACCTGAAGGAATTACTAGTTTGAACTGGCTTTGCACTGGGTCATAAAGATATTCTTACCCACTGGACTATCTATACTACTGCTCTACCTCATTATCTACATCCTGGGCTCCTCATTAACTGTATTCTAGACTTAAGACATATGTATACTCCCTACATCCATCTTGTCAAACAAGACATTGATTGGTGGCAGACTGGACAACTCTCAGTTACCCTGAATTCTAGTTAACTTAGTGACATAGCAGGCCTAAAACCACACCTCCATGTGGCCCCCTTGTGGGCTTTTCCTAGTGAACTATGTGTAAAACACCTTCTCAGTAGGCAGAGAAGTGCAAGTTCTTTTAAGAATTGACCACTCCTTAACCAATCCCTAATCCCACCCTGAATCACCTAGTTAGCATATTTGGCACATGTTTTATTGTATTTTTATCTTATATAAACTTTCACTGTATCCCTTTAAGATTGCAGCATCCTTAAGAATCCTTGCTGGCTGAAAAGCGTAACAATAAACTTTTTGGCTACCTTGACTTAAAGAATGCTTGAGTCTGTGAATTCATTCCAGATGACCCGTTGTGTACTTCAGTCTTTGAGGGGTCACAACCTCTCAGATCGCAACAGGGTCACAAAGCATCAGCTGAAATTGATGAGGGTGGGAGCTAGACCTTGGACTTTCCCACATGGCCAAATCTCTGGCGGTTGCCTGAGGCTATAATCCCATCAACTGGCCTTTCATTGTGCCTATCTCTGTTACCCTTAACCTAGCCTGGCCCTTCACTGCCAAACCTCCCTATGGCCCCTAGCCACTTCCCACCCTTAATCCTAGCTAGGCTCTGTTCTCCTTTGGACATGTGGTCCAGTTCCCTGGCATTCTATTACCTCACAATTTCCCCCCCACACCCCCAGACTACTAGGTCATTCCTAGATTTCTCCCACAGTCTTTCTGTATATAAGGTCCATCTTGCCTCCATTAAGGTGCTCAGATTCTTATAATCTAGCCAATAGCCTACTAATGTTCAGACTCCTTAAGAGTATGCCCAGTATGACAGATGTTCTAATAAACCTCGTCTTTGGCTGAAAGAAGGCTTGGTTCAAATTCTTTCAGGCAGGAACCGCACATTGTGATTTTAGGGTCCCAGCACCCCTAAGCCCCTGAACCTCAACAAAATGACTGCACAAGAAAAGTTTGATATAAAGTAATTTGAGAGAGTAGAAATCATTAACAACTGGAGGAGGCTGAGAGAGGATCAGAAGATCAAGAAAGGCACCTGAGCTGGTCTTTGAAGAAAGAGAATGATTCCACAGAATGAGAATATTCCAGGAACAGATGATAGTTCACAGAATTGTAATAGCATATGAGATAAAACGTAAAGTTCCAGGCAAGGCTAGCAGTCCAATTTGGCCAGAACATGGAATAAGTGAAAAAGAAGTAATGTGATATAACAGAGTAATATGTCCTTGCCTCAGATGTGTGCTGAGTGACCCCAGGCAATTCACTTCAGCTCTCCTGGCCTCAACTTCCTTATCTGTAAAGACAAGATCATGCCACCTCTTTTCAGCAGGCCAGGAGAGAAAAAGTGATCCTTTGGGGCAGCTGGTGGTGCTCCGGGTAGAGTGTAGGGCAGGGGGTCAGGATAGTCCTGACTTCAAATCCTACCTCAGACACTTACTAGTCATGTGTCCCTGGGTATGTCATTTGTTTCCTCAGTTTCCTCATCTGTAAAATGAGGATAATAATACTAACTCCCCCTCCCCAAGAATTGTTATGAGGATCAAATGCGATAATAGTAATTGTAAAGTGCGTAGCACAAAGTTAGTGCTACTTAAATGCTAGCTATTAGAATTATTGTTATTTAGAAAACAAGATTCTAGTCCTAGTCCATATCATTTACTGGATATGGGACTCTGAGCAGTCAGTCAATCCATAAGCATTTATTAAACACCACATTCAAGGAACTGTGCATATAACCACCTAATTTCTCTGAGGTTCAATTTCATAAACTACACCCTTCAGAATTCAGAGAAAAGCACTTTGTAAATGTAAAAAGATAAATTCTAATAGAAATAAATGTAAAGTACTATACTTTGTTTTTAATGAAGTAGTTAGGTGGCATAGTGAATAGAGTGCTTTGCCTGGAGTCAGGAAGACCTGAATCTAAATCTAGCCTGAGAAACAGAACAGCTGTGTGACCTTAAGCAAGTCACTTAATCTCAATTTGCTTCAGTTTCTTCAACTGTAAAATAAGGGTGATAATTAAAGCACCTAACTCCCGAGGTTGTCAGTGAGGATCTAATGAGATAATATTTATAAGCCCTTAGCACAGTGCCTGGCACATAATAGGCCCTATATAAATATTACAATTATTATTTAAATGTGGGAGCTGGACTCCATGACTGCTAAAGTCCCTTACACATTAAAATTAATGATCCAAAAGATAGAAAAAGCAGATAGGAGCTGAATTGTATAGAACCTGGAAAGGTAGACTAAGTAGTTTGTAGTTTATCCTCAAGGCAATACTAAGCCACTAAAGGG